TCCACCTCTCCTGTGGAAAACAGGCCTAGTCATTATTTTCTTCCACGGTTGTTTTAATGATTAGAAATAGCACACATAAAACACCTGGCATGTGGACACTCAGTTAAAGGCAGACATTATCAATGCCATCTGCATTTCATATAGGTTCCTTCTCCCAAGATGGGGGTTTGCTATATTGCATTGATTCTCTGACATGTTTTTAAATTAAGAAGGTGGCTGCTAACCTCCTCAAACAGCGTTCTCTGCAAGCAGCGACTTCACAAAGCTGGCCAGGCAGGGGCAGGCCTCGTGCAGACTCAAACGCACATAGTCACTGGCAAGAAGAAACATTTTTATTTTTGCTTTGCGGAGAAGGTGGTACTGATTGCTTTCTTCCTTTGGGAAATCAATTTTACTGTGCAGCAGATCTCGGTAAGTGGGGTCATACTACTGCTCCTCTAAAAAAGAGGCATGGTTGTTTTTATTAGTCGTGGAACTGACAGAAAGACTGGTAGAATTTGTAAAAGAAAATAACCTCTTCACTCCCCTTCTTATCCTACCTACCACCTTCTAGAGATTAGGAATGAATAAGAGATTTTACCTTCCAGTCTGGAAATCATACAGAGCTTCTAGATTAAAACAAGCAGCCTCATGTCCTTGGAGACTGGCCATATATGAATTTCTGAAATAAAAGGAATTCTCAGAGATTTTTGTCAGCTCTCATTTCAAAGGCAAAGTAACAGAGCCATGGTTCCAGGAGATTCCTAAAATAGCTGTGCTTGTAATTATGGGGCTAGATGCTTCCTCATCACAGGCTTGAAAACATGTCCTTTTTGGAGCTGATTCCAGTATCAAGTACCATTGGTATGGAGAATGAGAGGATTTTATTCTATACCAGGTTTCCTGACATATACAGGGCAACTCACTTTTATATAGTGAGATATAATAGAAATTTCACCATGAAACAGGTTNTTTTATTCAGGACTATTGCAGTAGAAGAAAAGAAACCTCAGCATAAAATCAGGCTCAATTCTGAATATAGTATGGACAAGAGGGATATGGCCAAGGATCAGGGTGGGGGTCATTGGATGGAAAATCATTAAGAGGAAACATCGGGTTATTGGGGAAATTCTGATTAAACAGATCTTCCAGGATTCTTGCTTAAGGCAAGCCAGGGTGATCAGATACCAAGGGTGGGGGATGAAAATAAACAAATGGGATTATATCAAACTAAAAAGCTTCTACAGAGCAAAGGAAACAATTAATAGAGCAAAAAGACAACCTACAGAATGGGAGAAAATATTTCAAACTATGCATTTGACAAAGGATTAATATCCAGAATAGATAAGGAACTCAAACAACTTAACGTTAAAAAAAAAAAAAAAAACCTCAATTAAAAAATGGGCTAAGGAACTGAATAGACATTTCTCAGAAGATGACATACAAATGGCCAACAGGTACGTGAAAAAATGCTCAACATCACTAATCACCATGGAAGTTCAAGTTAGATTGGCCATTATCAAAATGACAGAGAATAACAAATGCTGACAAGGATGCGGAGAAAGGGGAACACTCCTACACTGTTGGGGGGACTGTAAATTAGTACAGCCATTATGGAAAACAGTATGGAGTTTTCTAAAATAACTGCA